CGCAAGAAAACAACAAAATGCATTTTCAGGATAAGCGTGTCGTTTTCCCTTTTCGCCTCGACGTTCAAACAGCTTCCTGCCTTCCGGAGGTGGTTCACACCTTGGGCCGTGTTCCGGTCTAGAGTATAAACAGTAGCGCCGAAGAATACTTCCGCCAATATCTCTGCTTGTGGCTTTTGTTTCCGTTTCGTGTTCCAAGAGCTGCCTTCACTACTCCACTTCTGCGGAGAACAAGTTGATCAAATCCCGACCACTCAAGAACGCCCCACTTGGTATGCGTTATACCGCTTTCACCGCACAATACCTTCCCCTCTCAGCGGAGAGAGGCGCGCCTAACGGGGGACGGGGGGGGGGATAGCCTCCCGCGTCCACCGCGCTTGTAGAAGTAGAACATTTCAATGCCCTAAATACTACTTCAACGCTTGTAAGCACTCAAAAAGTGGGCAGTTCATGACTCCGGGAAACGAACGAAACCACAAAAAGTTCTCATTGACAGAAGCGACCAATGACACGTGCAAGCACGAGTCATCCGTCTTACCCCCATTCGGTGAAGTGACCAAGTGACATTCTCCAACAAAATTTCGTACTGTTGAAGTCAATCTGTACAACAATAATATAGCGCAAAAAATCATAGTTGACTGTGGAGGATGGCTGTGCAACAGAAAAACATGCATGCATGCAGTGAATAACGGTACCCAGATGAAATGTACACGTGGTGTGTGGTTGCCTTTTGCTTCCCGTTGGGTATACCCGCCTGCCGTCAACAACATATTCGCCTGATTGAGAGCGAAGTATCTGATTGAGAGCGAGAGCCAAAAAAATTGAAATTTCGGGTCCAGACGCCTCTTGCCATTTCTTGGCAAGTAGGGGACGGGCTATTCCAAGAAGCGGTGCAAATTGAAGGTCTCATCAGCAGCTTCGCGAGCATATGCGTGTCATCGTCATCGGATGCTGCAGCGAGGAGCTAGACAAGTTGCTAGATTTGCCCAGATTGGCTATTTCTGCTCAAACTGTTTCAGGGCGGTATCGCGTCGGGCGGTGGGCTCTGCTGTAGCTTCTGCTCCCCGCTGTAGCTCCACAACGAGAGACTCCCACAGGATGACCAGGGTAGCGGCTTGAAGCTACGGGCTAGCCCTTCAATTCAAGCTACACAGCAAGCTATACCTCTGAGTGGTAGTCCGGCTACAGCGTATCGCGCAATCTCGCTCTCAATCAGATGCTACGCTCTCAATCAGGCGAATATGTTGTTCGTCGTGAATACCGACCAGAAAGAACCACAACCCGGACCCCCTTCATCGTTTGAGATATATCCTTTAGTGTAGTCTACCCCGGGAAGATGGTATCTAGACTAATATTGCATCGAGAGCAACGGCCAGAAGATGCAAATTTCGGCTCACTTCCAAGTATACATCGTTGCTGTACTCCACAAAGAGCAAGAACAAATAATGCAGATAGATAAGAACGGTAATTAAATGTGCATATGAGGTGTCGATTTGTGTAACGGCTAGCTGCTGTCGGAAAGAGAGCGAGCGCGTCAGGAACAAACGTGCCTTTGTATGCATAAGAGACCTTCAATGGAAGCACAAGACGTTTGGTTTTTCTTTGTTTCCGTCATGTCGCAACGGCTCACATTCAAATATGGCCTGCCACTGTATTCCAAGCGTGGAAAAAAATGCAGCCCATCACCAAAATTCCAACAGTTACTGCACATTTTGAGCTCTATACCCCGAATGTTAAAACTACTTGGATAATATTAATAGTTGTTCAGTATATTTTTTAAGAGGAGTGGCCCGGTAGGAACACTTTTTGTTTTTAAAAGAAAAACTGTTTAGAGGGGGGAGGAAAACGGGCTCAAGTCAGTCCGTCTGTCTGTCTGTGACCAGCCTCGATATATTACCCAGCAGATTCCAGCCCATTTCACCATCTCGGCACCAAATTGCAATCTAAGACGTCAACAAGTAACATTTTGCCCGAGCTGCCCCAACTCCTACCGTTTCAATCCGTGCTCGGTGCGTCGAGATAGTGCAGCGTCGGTACCCAACTTGAAGCAGGGAAGTTTCTGGCCCCCTGCAACACCGAGAGGAGGCGTCATTTGATTTTGAACCAAGACAGATAGCCTCGCACACCACACACCACACACACATAGCCAGACATGAACAAACAGGGAGAGGGAGACACAGACCACAGCGAGGGCGAGGCGGCGGGAGAAGGGTGTGTCATACACTGCTGCTGTTAGAGATCGGCCGGAGAAGCGAGAGAAGAGATCAACATTTGGTTGCAGCAGCAGCAGCAGCAGCAGCAGCAGCGGCNACCGAGAGGAGGCGTCATTTGATTTTGAACCAAGACAGATAGCCTCGCACACCACACACCACACACACAGAGCCAGACATGAACAAACAGGGAGAGGGAGACACAGACCACAGCGAGGGCGAGGCGGCGGGAGAAGGGTGTGTCATACACTGCTGCTGTTAGAGATCGGCCGGAGAAGCGAGAGAAGAGATCAACATTTGGTTGCAGCAGCAGCAGCAGCAGCAGCAGCAGCGGCCTCTCGCTCTCTCTTTCCGCGGAGAGGGGCACATGACACCAACAACACACAGACAAAGACGCTGCTACGCACCACCATTGGTGCGACACGTACTGATGTACGCCTCCCTACATTTTAGTGCGCGAAGGCCGGGTGTGCGACCAGTGCCTCCCGTGCTAGCCTGGTTACCCTTCACACGCTTGAACGCTTTTGAGATTTCTCGATCAAAGCTCGAACCAACAAACGAAGCAAAACAGCAGGGACATTATTTTTCTTTTTAGCTGCTAGCCCTGTTTTTAAATATACCACACCCCTCCCTCCCGCGGAGTACACCTCCCTCCCCCCCGGTGTATGCCATCGGGGTTGGGTTTTCGTCGCTTGGCAACGAACTTGTAAAACAAGCCCCCCCCCTCGGTGTTTGCCATCGGGATTGGGTCTTCGTCGCTTGGCAACGAGGTTGTAAAAAAGCCAATTCACTTCGTGAACTCGGTGAAAGGCACCTTGACCCTCGAAATGATGCGTTCGAGTCCGTGTTGAGGTGTCTTCTTTTTTCCAAGACATTATTTCTTTCGGAGTCGATCACATTGATTGGCGCCTCCCACACCTCAATCAATATATTGTAATACTGCTGTGTAGTAAACGGGCCAATGGTAGCAACGCACGAGCCTACTGCAGGTACGTTTTTCAATAAAAAACTATTCCACCTTCCGATCTAGTATGCAAGCCTCAGACAAAAAGCAGGCTACCCCGTGTATGCAGTACAACTCCAAAGTTCCACAGCAATTAATTACGTGATGGACCTTCCGAGAATTTTCGATCATGTGACTACTCTAATTTTTTGTATTAGATCTAATAGTCGAAATATCTTTTCCAGCTTCTTCATGCCATTGGTATGTTGCGAAAAGTCTTCACTCGCAGCACACTTCCTTTTCCCGTACATCCCTGAAGGCGTGGACGCTTGGTGCCCGAGCGTGAAGACCTTGTGTTGCTACTACTACTGCTTGAAGATCTCAAAAAGTGAGCAGTTCAGGCCTCCGGGAAAACAAGAAGGGAACCACAAGAAAGTCCTGGGTGAGAGAATTGAACAGCGGTTTATCAGGGCACGAGTCGTCCGTCCCACCCCATTCGAGTACGTGCCGTTGTATCTACGGGTGCCGTGAATACTATATTTTGTTTCCTATGAACATCAAGGAATTAAGTTTGCTGCAAAAGATGTGTGTACAATCGGAATAAGGGCTGTCTCCACCGCGTGGTGGTGTGCTTCGTTGTGAAAGCCCCATGGTCGTCCGGTTTGAACGGAGTGGAGATGTCACCAACAGGGATGGCTGGGAGTAGAGTGTTTTGGTTGTGTTTTCGTCCTATTAATTATGGCGACAGTCCCCTCATTTTTCGTGGTGAGACGTGTACTACTCTTTTCAGCGTATGTAGAGTACTGCACTTTTAAGTGTCATTTTTCGTACAACTACAATTATCCAGGGTCACACAGGAGGGGGTAAACACAAGGGCTTTTACTTCTTTTTATTTCTTGTCATGCCCCACCTTCCTCCTGCGGTGCGTGCTATATTTTATTGTTATCGCGAGAAGGGTCCGTCCCTTTACCTCGTCAACAACGGTGCTAACGTCGAAGTTTGGTACTCACAAGAGCTTGTCAGCTAGACTATATTTCACCCGAAAATTTCGTAAACTTTTCACCCCATGGGGATTCGAACTGACGACCTCTGCGGCTAGCGGATGACGAGGATACCACTAGACCACCGGGGCGACCGGCAGTGCAGGCCTTTAGTTTGCTGCTCGTTTTGCAGCAGTACACACATGTACAGCAGTAGTCGGGCGGTCTGCACTTCGTTCTGTCGATTTGTCGCACAGGGACACGCAGGAACTTTCAGAAGGACAGACCAGACTGTGCGATGTTGTTTCGGGTAACGCACACACACTAAATCGTGGAATCGCTTTGCACTGGAGCCTCCAGTCGCATCGGCAATGAGTGGTGTCATGAACCAAGATTTGGCACCACCATCACCCGTACCTGGACCTGCGCCACGATGCCCAACGGAAGTACGGTATTCATGTCCCCTCTGCATCAGCGAAGGATCAACGAACCTGACGGCGAGGAATCTGGCTACACACCAAAAACGTCAGCATAAAGGTCGAGGAAAAGAGCTACTACTCAGTTTGTCTCCTCCTGGATCCTTGCGCTCGAGCAGCCAGGCACCTGGTTACGCCGCATGTGGCACATGCGGCGACCTTTTCTCTCCACGCACCAAGCATTGTTGAGAACCAGGTACTACATCGTCCCCATCTCTCTCTGGGTCATTGCAGCCACCGCAAGAGGATGATGACGACAGGCGGCAACTCCTATTACCGTGGGACCTCAACGACGTCAGCAGTGCCCTGGATCAGGTTCGACAAGATACTCTTGAAACGTCAATGTTTTCGACAGTCAAACACATCGATCCGCAACTGGCGAAAGTATTTTGCAAACACTTTCAACATGTCGTCATCCTCTTCGTGCGAGCATTTGGAGCTGTACACATAGATCAGCAGAAGTCAGATACCACAGATCTATCTCTTCTTGCAGCGGAAAGATATGAAGTAGCACGTGTTGAAAAGACAACTCCAACTTGTCCGAGCAACAAAGTTGCTTCATCTTACCCCAGCATTGCATGGATCGACTGATGGAAGGATGAACAGGGTATCCCGATTTAACCGCTTTGCAAATGGTGATCTGAGTGAACCTATCGCCTGGCTCATGATGTACGAGAAGAATCGTCGACTTCAGTATTATGCGGATACTGAAGACAATCGCCAAAGAAGAGCCACAAGACTTGCGCACGAAAGCGGAGGCATCACTAAAGCTGCCAGTGCCTTAATTTCCCCAGCACCTTCACCGCGCAACAACGACACGCTGGAGCATCTTCGCAACCTACACCCTAACGAAGATCCTGACGATATTGCTACTGCGTGGGATTCCAGCATCAAAGCTGCAGGAGATCGTATAGAAACGCACAAGATCGACTCCGTCGCCGAACCTGATGAACCATTCGAAATCAAGTTCATCAAGCAGACGGTAAAGAAAGCCAACCCTCAGAGTGCTCCGGGGCCTGATGGTCTTCGTTTTTCGTATCTCCAAGCTGGTGGGATGAGTGATTTTTTTACTGAAACGTTGGCGGACTTCAGCTTTAAAGTCTTCTACTACGGAGACGAGCTTCCGGATTTCTTTTGGAACCTCCACACCAGTGCCAACCTTTCAGCGCTGGGAGAGAAAAAACGGCCGATTGCAGTTGGAGGGGTTTTGCGTCGCATCATCAGCGGCAGCTTCTGCCGCCAGTACAAGGGAGGAATTGCGAACATCTTCGAAGCAGCAAATCAGTTCGGAGGTGGTGTTCCAGGAGGAGTTGAAATAGTGGCTTCCACAGCAGCCCTCAGCCACCAGCAAGGCAGCACCATTCTCTCCTTTGATGGGAAAAACGCTTACAACAGCATGCGCAGATCTTCCATCTTGCCAGCAGTGGCCACTCATACGCCACACTTGGTGAAGTACTTCGGGAACATCTACGCTCGAACCAAGGCGAAACTTCTGTTCAAAATGGAAGATGGTTCGATCGAGGTTGTTCTTTCACAGCGCGGAGTTCAACAAGGCTGCAATTTGGGAGGGTTTGGCTTCTGTGTAGGACTTCTTGATATCATGAAAGAGTTCAACAACAAGCCACCAGTGCCAGGAGTGAAACTCATCGGATACGTCGACGACCTCCAAGCACATCTTCCACCAGGTTTGGCTAGGAACATGCAGGCCATATCCACTGTAACGAATTGGATTCAGGAACGTCTCTCCCAAAAAGGGATTGAGCTCAGTCTCCCGAAATCCAAAGTGCTTT